AGATCTGCGTTTAACGCCAAAGTCGCCAGCGAGAGTTTCTTCTCTCTCGGCTAATTTGTACAAATATTAATTAAACTGCTGTTTAACTTATCGTTGCATACTTTTCTTCTAAGTTCTGTTTTTAAAGGGTGCTTTGACTGATATTTACATAATGATCTAATTATTTAGAATAGAGTTAAACGATATGTTACATGAGTATACCGCACGATATAAAAATATTAAATATAAAAATATTCAAATAAACAACTGATAAATTCACTATTTCTAATAATAAACACGAAACATTTTCGGTCAAATAAATATGAAACATTGTATTTTACTACAATTACTGCATTCACTTTTGTTGTGCTTTTAGATTGAGAGAAAAACTAAATAACAAAGATAATAGCATTAATAAATATCTGTGCAATAATCACACGTTACGTCAACAAAATACCAGCCCACTAAGGAAATACCTACATCGCCTTGTGATCGATTAAATAAGAGACAATCGCGGAGACGTCTCACAAGACACGTACGACTGAACTCGAATTTCAACGTTTTCCCGATTTTTGTGCCCGGCGAAACCGCGAGACCTCCGAGACCGGCGGATTTCCGAATTTCCAATCGCGGGAACCGCGATCCGGCACACGTACCTACCGCGTCGCCGCGTGACTCCCATACGCGAATAATCGTCCGCTTGGCGCGGTGCAGGAATGCGGCGAACCGTCGCGAGAGAACGGACTTCACATGAAAATGAGATTACCGCTTTTCCCATCCGCGCGCCCGCGCCGGCCGGGAGTAATAAGGCCGAGCCGCTAGTCGCTCCACTATCGGCCGCGTTTTCTCCCAAAGCGCTTTCGCGCGTTCAGATCGCCGTCGCCGTCGTGTCCGATCGACCGACCGATCCTTATTTATATAGTTAAACACCCAGCCGGCCTATGTATGGCATTTACGCGAACGAAAGCGGCGTGGGCATCGAGACTGACAAGACCGAGCCATGGCGATCCCCCTCGGTCCTTTCCCTTCGTCCTACGAAGAAAATCTACGCGAGACAACAATACGCGCGGTAGCGAATTGCTGCGGGGGTTTATTAAGTCGCGAGACAATCATGATTTTTCTTCCGCGGCGGAATAATCAACGGGCGTGATTTATCCGGTATTTGTTCTGTATCGTCGTATCGCGGGGGCCCTCCTACGCTCGCAGGCTATCGACGACAAAGTCGAATGAACTCTGCCCACACGCCGCCGCGCCGTTGATCAGATAATTCTTTCAAATCGGATACGTGACGCGGAATGAGTCTCCTTCTCGCGCCGGCATTGCGGCATTATGTTTAATTGGCGAAACAGCCCCGGGAATCTCAGGAACGACGGGGACGCGTAACAGATCGCTGCGCGTGACTGTGATCGAACGACCGCAATTACTCCGATATGTCAGCTTCCATTCCGAGTCGAGCAAATAAGAACCGTACGACCGAAACTGGTATAGGGATCCGGAATGAGCGAAGAAATCATATCACGTAGATATGCGTTTGTTTCTCAATTTAAAGTGAAAACTCACTTTACAATTTTTCAAAAGAATCGCGAGGGAACCTCGGAGAATTTCAAGACTCCTTGATGATAATGTAAAGCTCAATTATTAAAAATATTCAATATAAGAAATTAAAAAAGTCACCATAACGAGATGAAGATTAAAAATTTGGGTGATTAAGTACTTATTAAGTAATTATATCTGGTCGATCAAAGTACGATGCACCGAAGCGAACGACCTCGTAAAGACTTTCCGGGACGAATTAACTCCCTCGCTTGTCGCGCGCGCGTTTTCCTCCGAGATGCGAGAACAATGCTGCGAGTTGGTGCCGCCGCACGTCGTTGTCGTTCATGATTATTCAAATCGTTATCACGGAAGAACGCGTATACGCCGTCGTCTTATTTCCCTCGTGCGCGAAACCGCCGCGCCGTGCCGACCTCGGGTCGGGACGTACCGCGCCGCGTGCACGCGAAGGAAAGGCTTTACGTCTACAACAACAAGGCGAACGAGGAGGGCGGACGGCGGGGAACCCGGGGGGGCGGGAAGCAGAATTATTTCCGCTTGCGGTACTTCTGCACTTGATGGCTAATTAGAGAATCGTTACCGGGCCGCGTAAAGAGCTGGCGGGTTGATAGCGCGCGTGTGTGCCCCGACCGCCGTCTCTCACGCGCCTTCGCGCGTAAAACGCTTAGGGAAAATTAATCCATTAAGGGCCGTTGTCCCATTTCCGGGAATGCGCTCTGAACGACAGACAGATCTCGCAAACGTATCAAAATATCTCCGTGTAACTGCGGAAAACTCGGCTCCGCGCTTCGCCGCGCGGTTAAAAACTTGTGAAATTATATTACGATGAGCGCGCGTGGTACTTCCAGCTGTTTGTAGCATAACGTGTCTCTCGGTGGAAAGCCTAAAACACGATTAAAGAAAAAACAGCCTTGAATTACGTCAGGACTGTGTGTACTCCCGAGTTTTGCTGGTCATTCTGAAAGACGTCGCGAGCAGGTTTTCCCACGATAAACATTATATACGTCTTATACACTTGTTCCCTCCGTTTTGCGCACTATTAGTGAACTTTCCGCGCAGGCATTGAAGATTTGTTGCGAGTAAAGTTACGTGTATATTAAAATGACGTTTAACGAGAAAACAATGTTCTTTGCAAAATTTTTCTTTATCTGTCATTAAGTCTAGTCACGTTTATTCAAATCGGATACGTATGTATTACTATGACATAACTACGACATGGACCTCACTAAAAGTCTTTATCTTAGTTAACCTAGTTTATATTAGAAAACAAATTCTCTGCTCCAAAACAAATTTGTTAAAACAGACTTCATAAAGCATACCAATTTTATTGAAGATGGCGTTTAATTATTTATATGTGATAAACCGTTATCTCCCTCTCTTTCTTTCTCTCTCAAATTAAATAGAAAAAATTGCATTGAAGAAATCTCGTCGCGCGACTTCAAAAGAACATGTTTGTCTCCCGCAGCGGTAACATTTTCCCTCTACTCATATTTTCATTGCATTAATATTTCCGGTTGCGACTACAAGCGCGAGCGGAAAGAGTCGGCGGGGAGGGGGGGGGGCGCAACTCCATTTTTGAAAAAAAAAAAAAATACACCGGAAGAGGATTAGTTCACTTTTGTCGACCAGCAGCGGGTTGTCGCGCTCCCCCGAGGAGACTCTCTTAGAAGCGAATGAAAGCAGAAACGCGACGTGAAAGTAAATTATACAAAAAGTGGAGTACCTACCTCTAAGGCCAGAGCTGCGGGCGTTTTAAGAAATAGAAACGTTTCATTGCGTCCGACCGTATATCCGCGAGCTTCGTCTTCTTACGACTGCAGACTGGTGGAATGCTTCCTGTAAATGTAACGACATTTTAATCCTTAATTAGTAACATGCCGATCGCATGCATTAACTTTTCGAAATTACGTACCGAATCCGGAGTTTAATACGAGATATGTTTTACTTTATGTATAGCTTTTACATAATATAAACGTAACTTAAATTTTACGTAATTCTTTATATAACATTTTAGTAATAAGAAATTATAAGAACAGATTATATATATTTATCGGACATCGATACGTATTCTTTTTCTACATCGCTGCACAATACAATCGTAAAATTACTATGTACAGCTACATGCTATTGCAGTAATATTTTTAATATTTTCATACTTGCGATACATTTTTGAAAAGAACCATTCTCGTGGTTAATTAGTTCGACGTTAAGCACAATTGCGAATAATTAAGTACTTTAATAATCTTTATCTTTGCTGCATTAGGATCGCGATGAACAGACGCGTCTCGAGATGAAGCACCGGAAAGAAGAAGATGATTTATATCGGAAGTTTGCGCATCATCGCGAGGAAGAGGACCGGCGAATCCGCGAGGAATTCCGAGTATGTAATGACTGAGGCGGATTTTAACAAAAATGATACGAATTATTTGCGTTTTACAGATTAATTTTTTACACACAGTTAATTACGAATAATACACGTTAATTATAAATAATGAAATTTCAACATATTACGCATGATTTGAAAAGGACGAGTGGGAGAAGGAGCTGGAGCAATTGTCGGCGAGATGGGAACGGGAAAAAGGCGGAAGAGTTCGAACCCAACAATTTCAGCAGGAGAAGGAAGACTTGGAGAAGAACATGACTCTACGCAGGGACAAGAAGAAGGAAAGTCTCACGCGCAAAATGCTGGAGCACGAACGGTATTTATTATGCAATTAACGCGATATCCACATTTCGCTTTTAGATCGGGAAGGTACACACTTATACATCACGGATCACGATTTTTTTTCATTAAATGAAATATCGAGCGTAGAGCGTAATAGAAGTATCTGATTTTCTCGAAAGTAAACATTTGATAACGGATTTAATTACAAATATAATTAAAAATAACACACGTAATTAAAATTGGAAAGACATGTAATGAAATTCCAAAAAGCAATGCAATAAATAAAATAAAATAAATAAATTATCCAACTTTTATCAACTTAATATTTAACATGTCGAAATTTTTTATACACCTTATCATAAAATAATTTGTGTAATTTGTACGTTGTTATATTTATTATATGACGTATTAACGAGACAATCTCGAATGGGATTACGAATATCGATTCCGTGCATTTTTCGCTACGGTAGAACACACATGGAAGAGTTACGTGCAACACGTTACGAGCCCGCGGTAGCTTCGGCTTTATGCTTTTTTCCGTTTTCTTTTTTTCTTTCGGACGATAAACAAGCTCGCGTGCGTTGGCGGTTCGCGAACCGGGAAGCCGGGTTTTCGCGCTCAACACAAAAGCTCCTCGTTACTCCTGATCAATTTATAGGGCGGCAACCGCCGCGCTGGTGGAGAAACAGAGCTCGGAGATGCTGGAGCTGATCAATGAGGCGAGAAGCGAGTACATGCTACAGGAGAGTTTATACCTTGACGAAGGAGACGGTTATATCCAGGAAGCGCCGCCCCCGCCTTATCCATCGCGCGCGCCACCCCCGCAGCCGCCAGCCCTCGCCAAGTACCATATCTACAATGATCCCCTGGAGTTCGCCGACATGGATCAGATAGCTATTTCGGTAAGATCTCACCGCGGAATTCTTTCAGCGCCGGCTTCCTCTCGTAAGTCATCCACCTTGTCGCCGGGACGACATTTTGCGGTGTACGGTCTATCGCAAGTATTCTGAGGGCGTTTATCGTCTTTTGCATTATAATGCTTTATTTAGTTTATCATGCATTGTTATGTTTTAATTATTGCATTATTTTGCATTATTATGTTTTATTTAGTTTATCATGCGTTTTATTTAAATAAGCTTAAAAAAATTCGAGGAATTTTTTTCTTCTTTCAAAATTTATCCAACATCAATATTTCTACTTTCTTTCTTATTATCTAATTTCTGGAGATGCTATTCACGTTGGATTATATATGCGTAAGAGATTAAATCAGGCAATATTAGTATTATTAACGCCACTTTTACAAGATGTACTGATAAGTGATATTGTTCTTATAGGTAGCCCAAGAAGATCAAAAAACGTTCACCGACTTGGTGCGACAGTTGGTGAGCAGATGCGGATCGGATATTGAAAAGGCGAGAACAATATTCCGATGGATCACCGTGAAGAATCTGAACACTATGCAGTTTGATGAAAACTTACGGGGTGACACTCCCATGGGTCTACTGAGGGGCATCAAACACGGCACGGAAAGTTACCACGTTCTATTCAAACGATTGTGCAGGTAACCGCATGCTAACGATATTATAAAAAATAGACGAACGTATAAAAACAATTTCTATAAGTATACATGACAGGACGGAGATAGATGAAAACTTTACTTGGTAAAAATATCAACAATTTAAACGTGCAATTATTTATATCGCATTAAATATATAAGTAAATCGTTCAGTGGAATAATATAACTCATTAAAATTTGGAAAAAATAAAAAAGTTTGAGATTTTATTTTTTTACAAAAATATATAGATTCAATAAAAAGAATATAAAGTTGTGTTCTAAAGTAAAAATTCTAAAATATTATATCATATATTTATATTATAACATAACCAATAATCATATATGAAAGCTAGTAAATAAACTTTTTAATTTTAGTATATTATATATATGAGTCCGTGTAACTCGCGTAGAAATACGTGCACATTAAAGCGCCTAGCGAAGTCTATAAGGAGATTAAGAATTTAATTATCGAAATGTTCGATATTTATCTCATATATTTCACTTCGCGAAAACTGATGGTACCTAAATTGCTAAATAACATTGAATGCAGTTATGCGGGCTTGCACTGCGTGGTCATCAAGGGTTACAGCAAGTCGGCGGGCTACCAGCCGGGCGTTTGCTTCGAGGACAACCGATTCCGGAACAGCTGGAACGCCGTGTACGTGGCAGGTGCGTGGCGGTTTGTCCAGTGTAATTGGGGGGCACGACACCTCGTCAATGCCAAAGAGGTTCCCCGTCCCGGTCAACCGAAAGCTAAGAACGACAGCCTCAGGTACGACACGCCAAAGTCCGCGGGTATCGTGATTGTAGCGTTTGCGTGTGCAAATAAAACGATCGATGAGATCACGAGGACGTTTCACTTAGGTACGAATACGACGATCATTACTTCCTGACGGACCCCCGGGAATTCATATACGAATTCTTCCCTCTTCAAGAGGATTGGCAGTTGCTTAAACAGCCGATTTCACTTAAGGACTTTGAGGAATTGCCTTTCGTACGGTCTCTATTCTTCAGGTAAGGCAACATTTCTGTTTTTTTTTTCCATAATATACACGAGAAATAAGAGAGAAAACCGGATTTGTACACAAATTAGTTGCTACAATTTATGTTTCTCTCTTTATGTAATGGAATTCATTATTCAATGCCACGCTATATATATATTTTTTTTGTTAATTTCACATTATATATTTTTGGCAAAAATAGTAGCAGCTTCAAACATACCACATCTTAACAAATGAATTCCGCCTATTGAAGCGTGTTTAAAGACCGTTAGGACGCGTAATTAAACCGACGATCTCGCAAGCGTGGCGAGAGATCGGTCTGTTAACAATGACCGTAAGTTGCACGGCGAAAATACCGTTCGGATAAATTCTGCGTGCACAGGTACGGCCTTTACTTTCCGGATACGAATACGAATGCCGTTATGTATACGGATTCCACCGGTGCTGCGACCGTGAGGATAGCGATGCCGGCGCATATGCAATCATCCCTTATCTTTCATTACAATCTCAAGTTTTACGACAACGACGGCGATGGCTACGACGGTGTGTCGCTCAAGCGTTTTGTCATGCAGGTATGAACTGATAGTCCGCGTCTTCTATATATTCGCGCGATGATTTATCTCAAGCGACTTGAATCGCGTCACTTTTTGATTTTAAAATATCACGAAAGTTATGTAAAACAATTTATATAGCTCTAAATCTGTATATATAAAATATGATATTAACGATTCGTTAATGGCATATTTTGAAACTTGAGGATTTAATTTAAAAAAATCAAATAACAAAAAAAAAAGAAAAAAAGATTAATTTTAATTTTAATTTATATAAATCTCAAAACATTTATATATATAATAGTTGAAAAATTATAATATATTCTGATTTTATTATTAATTTTTTTCATATCTCTTATTCTACACTATTTTTGTACTTTGCTCATGTATAACATTGATAAGTTACACGCTTAGTAAAAGACGCGTTCTTATTTCATCGTTTAAATTTATAACAAGATATATAAAATAATACAGCAGGGTCGATACTCAGGTAAATTTTTCAAATCCAAAATTTGTTTAGTCGGTTGTAGGGAACATAGTTGCATTCCGAGTTCACGCCCCGTGCTCCGGAGCCTTTCTCTTGGACATATTCGCCAATGCGGTAACGCCGAAGGAATATTTGACCGGCGAACCGATGAAGTTCAAGAGCGTCTGCAAATTCAAAATCGCCTGTGAAGAACTGCAGACGGTGATGGTACCATTGCCGGATTGCGCCAGTGGCGAATGGGGCCCCACCAAAGCTACTAGACTATTTGGTCTCATACCCATCACTCATCAAGTAAGTCAATTAGTTAAATCGGTCTGCTTGTACAATTCAGAGCAAAAAAAAAACGATATCAACGCAAACTATACAGACTTATTTCTTTTTTTAATAAATTCAAGTTAATGATTGAATCAAATTTTTATTTGTTGAATTAGGGTCACTAAAAAGAAAACTATGTAAATGCACATTTTCAACAGTAAAAAAATTAATACTAATTTTAGAGCGTTATATAAGATACTTTGATTTTTTTCTGTTCAGCATGGCATTACACAATTTGTTACATCTTTTGCGTAAAACAAAAGTTTTACAATGCTTTGGTCCACAATCAGTTCCACAAAAATAAATTTCCTTCCCGCTTTTTTCTACTACGTGAGGCATTAAGGTGAAAAAAAAAAGAAAATCCAAGAAGAATCGCCAGAGACGAGAAATCTTCCGATTTTATCGCGCTTGCCAGGCGGGCGGTTTACAATCGCGCGATCTATTGATTTTAGGAAGCCCTAGTGTTCGCCGGCCGCGAGCTGGAGATTCAATTCCGCATGTCGAGGCCGTTGACGGACTTCATGGCGACCCTGCATAAGAACGGCATCGAGGAGAAGCGCCTGTCCAAGTACGTGACGCATTCCATCGCCGACGACGACGTGGTCACTTTCTCTATAAGTTTTCCCGAGGAAGGCCAGTACGGTCTGGACGTCTACACCAGGGAATCCACCGCCTCGCCCGTCGCTCAGCACGACGTCACCGGCGAGAAGCATCTGCTCACGCACTGCTGCAAGTATCTCATCAACTCCAGCAAACGGAATTGAGAGTGTAAAATCGCGGGGCGCGCTCTTGAAACATAGTCTCGGCTTCGTTCGAAAATTTCTACTTTAGTTACGGACGACGATTGATAGCGACGATTGGGATTCCAGTGCTCGTTAGGACGAACGATAACAAATGCACTTCTTCCATAGTGCTTTCGGAAAATTATAAAAATAGAGAATAAGGAAATATTTTGCAGGAATAATGTATATGTACTGTCGCGACAAAACGACTGTTTTATGATCTGAAAATCTCGCTCGTCATGTCGAGCTCATCCTATCCTTAGGAGGCAGAGAGTTTATAACGTAATCGTCCTGGATCGGCCATTAATGATGAATTAACGACGCTTTTATCGTGAATACCGAAATCGAGAAAGAGGAGAGAAAAGAGGCCGATCGAGTGACGACGGTGACGAAGAGGCAATGGTGAAAGCAATGACGTTTTACGTCATTCTTCAAGAACTATTTTTTATGCAATTCCGCTACCTCGAGTCTAACAGTAGGCTTACGACTTGGAGATAATTATTAATGTAAAACTAACTGTGTGGAAGTTTAATTTGACGCGGGAGAGGCATTTTTCAAAGGGCTTTTCAACAGCAAAAGATACCTTCGTATATACAAGCGGACGGGTTTAACGCGATTTCCTGAACACCCGGTATATCTGGAACGCGCTTACGGTCGTTCTTTCTCGTATCATCTACCGAGTTAGTACTTCCGTATAATAATAATCCTCTTCCCCTCCCCGCGATCATGCTTCTCTTACGCAACGTATCAAATAAATTATTGCGATCTGCGATTCCGTCGTAACAATCTCATCTCGAAGCTTTACTTTCACCGACAGATTTATATATTTATCGCTAATACTACATTATTTTCAGTACTAGTTATTATAGACGGCCTCGATCGCGGATCCATATTGAGCGTGTGACGCGCATAGACCGAATAAAGCAAATATAATATATTTTATGTACGAAAGATGCTTCTGTATATATAATGTACGTATAAGATAATTACGACTTGAAAATATCGTTATCCACAAAGCACACTGACTCGTATCTGAAAAAGTACTCACCCAATTTAGCCCACTCTTCTTTCTTCAAATATGTTGTTTTCTCATACGAATTGTATTATCTATTATATTTGTGTGTGTGTCCTCTTTTAAAATTGATACATTTTCAAGTCGCAATTTTCGAAATGCACAGGTGCTATACTTTATATTATCCTTTATAATTATTCGCACAATCGAGTAGCAGTCATACAATTATTTAGTGGTAGGATAGTATATTTGCACCATCGACTATGCGAGCAAAAACGTCGTTTATAACAAATAAAAAGAAGAACAGTATATATTTGTTAATCGTGTAATATTAATCTGTCTTGTTGTCAATTAAAATTTTAACCACGAATAAAACTCCCACATTGTAGCCTAATGTAATAGATGTAATTCGAACTTACGAAGTCTATTTTGTTATCCATTAACATCCATAAGTATGTAAATTAATTTTTTATATACTTGTAGTTACTTTCAATAAAATTTGATATTCTTGTATAAAGATTTAATAAATTGATTTCCACAAAATAACTTCGATTTATTTTAACATCGATTCTCGCAAATTCGACCTCCATTATAAACGTTTTTTAACAACATAACCTTTTTTTAAGAAGCATATTTATAAAGGTATATTTAAGAATGTCTCCGAAAGTCTTTTTAACACAACTTTACATTAACAATTTCGAGAGAAAGAAATCACAATTGTCAAAAATATTCTTATTATTGTGTCTGTCAAGTTTGCATTGCAAAAAAATAACTTAAAAACATGTAACACCGAAATGATAGCATTTAAATGTTACGAAACGACAGATTTTACTCAGTTTCTACGGTCAATGTGCATTCTATTAGTAGATTCTGTTATATTTCTGCTGACATTCAAATTTTGCAGCAGACACTTTCCAAATCTGTTCTATACAGATTTGGCTTTCCGGGAATGTAAGACAAATGTAATTTAAGATAAAGAGGAATTTAGATAGAAGGATTTAGTAACAGATTTTATACATCTGTAATTTTATTTTTACTTTTTTCCGTGTACCTTTCTTAAATCTGCTCACTTTAATTAGTTTCTTTTAAGCGCTTTTCCTACACATTTAATTTTCTGTAACAAAATAGCCGTGACAAATGTGTTCAAACAATCAAATCTATTGAGAAAATTTGCAAAGTACGTTCAGTTAGATGATAAAGTATACATAACAGTGTATACATTCGCGCACGCACATTATTTGAGGTCATGTGTAATAACACCAGCAATTGTTAGATGGCCCGCGAGCAACGTATGTTCTCGTTATTAAAATACACTTAAATTATAATATAAGCACACATGTAATAATATAAGATTTGTATAGTATATAATGAAACACATAAATTATTGTGTTACCTATTACTATACATCACTATATATATACTAAAATTAAATTATCTATTATGGAGACAGTATGGATCTCTCTATTAGAGATCTATGTCTGATTTCCACCGTAGAGATAGACGTCGCAGGGAGCAATAAAGATTGCATGGACATTAAATGTTCCATGTGAGCACATTCACGTAGAGTATAAATAATTGATTTCCGTAAAATTTCCTGTCAAACAGCAACCCGTTGCACTTCATTTCATCGAGCATGATAAACGTAACGGTACGTCCATCTTGCGGTAAAGACAGAGAATTTAAATTTCTTGGATCAAATGTGATTTTATACAGGCTTGAATAACGAGCTGCTGCACTACACAGGCCACATTCTCGCTTCTGACATCTAATGACGATTTTATTAAGACGAGTATTTAAGGGAATTGAAGAAACAATTATCGCAAACGACAAATTCTATTCGCAAAGCTATTTTAATTTGTGAAGAAACGACAATCGATTTTAGCCAGAAATTGTCTCTAATTTCTATGTAATACAAAAGTAAATCTGAATGATGGTAATCCTGAAATATAACTCAATATAATCAATAACTCGTTTAATAGTCAGGGCTACTGAACAGTCATAATTCATATCAATTGCACAATTTATATGACATTTCTATCAATCGATCGATTCTTATTTTAGAAAACAGCTATTTCTAAGTTTAATGTTGGCACATAATTCTGTAGCCGAAAGTATTTACAGACATATATGGTTATTAATGAAACATTCAAAGACAATGATCTTCGGCGAATCCATGATAAATTTGAAATCTCGTCAAAAGTACCATTAACATTTAGTGACACGAGCCGTGTCGATTTATATCGAATTACCGCTGAGTGGCATTCGTGCGACCGTAGCTCAACAAAACTTACCGTAAACTAAAATTTTACGAAGTGAACGGCTTCTGCTTCTTCGGTCGCGCTTTTTTTTCAAACCGACTCGCGCTTTCTCTCTGCCCAACCGCTTATTATGAAAACTAATTACCGGGATTCGTCCTGTGTTTTAGTTCGGAGATGAATCGTCATTCGAGGCTGCAGATTCTTTATCCGCGTTGCGACGAGTCGTCGTGTCGTTTCAGCACTAATTAAATAGCCGGTCCCCAGGTCGTAAACCCGCCCCCCTCCTCCTCCTCCCCCGCACTCACCGCCAACTTCCGGAATAGGAGGACGATCCCTCAGAATTGCCCGAGACGAGAAAGAAGTTTCCTTATTCCACGATGGTACGTGCGGAAAGAAAGATTTCATCGCGCGGGCGGACCACTTTGTGATTTATAGCCCGCTAACTGCTTATTGTAATTGCAGATGAGGGCATCCATTATTGTTATTATCAGCGTCGGCCGCGGAGACAGGACGCGGGATTTAGAAGCTGCTCTCCGCCTTATCTCGTCGCGCGAAATGGGAATTTCTGTTCGCGGCGGCGGTGGCGCGGCTAGAATTTTTAATGGCACTTACAGTAGAACTTATCGCGTGGTTGGCTGGGGCTTCACGTTTTACTTTTATTAACATAAAATTACCTCCTTTTACACTCCTTCTGGATATATAACACGATTTACCATCAACGTTCTTTAAAGGGCCTCGATCGACGGCGATTTATTGTACGCGAGGCACGAGGGCCGTAATTATTTTTGCAGCTTCGTTTATTTTCCACGCTGGAGCGCTCGCACGTCCGCGCGAGAATGCCCGTGCTAAAAAATAAGACATTTGATTACCCCGGCTTATTGTGGCGCTGGAACAATTAAAAGGTTTTGATAGCTGCTGCTGAAACATGTTCCCTTTTTGTTCCAGTTTCCATTGTTTGATTATGGTCGCTTGTTAGTATTTCACGCTCTATACACACGCCACATAGAGACGATATGGACTCAGAGGGTTTAACAAGCCTCTTCCCTTCGTTCTTTTTTTTCCCTCGCGCTTCCTTTCGTTAGATGCAACGTCTTTATAATTGCTCACCGCAAATGGATGGCTTATTAATGTATACGTCTATTTGCCGGTATTCCGACCGCAACATCTTAATAACCGCCGAATGTAAATAGCAGTCGCTTGATATACTTTCTTAATACCGTTCTTTTTATGCAAAATCATTTACTATATAGTGTCTTTAAAAATTTGCTTATTAAAAGTATCGAAATTTTAATTAATGGAGTAAAAGAGCGGATGTTTTTCATCCATTGTAAAGTACTTTCTTTCAAAGTTTTATATACAATGTGTATACGCCGTGATATTACATAGACTATAGAAAAGTACGTATATAATAATTGGATATATTAATATATACTTTTTGTCGATATCTCCTAACTTCGAGCAGAGGAATTTTATATTTACATAAATAAAAAAGAATCTTCTCTTTAAATTTATATTAAAGTGCAACGTGCCAATTTTATTCGCGCTTGGGCTTTTTGGTTAAATTTTCGAACAAACGTCAGACGTGTCGCCAGCGCTATCCCGCGCATGCATCGCATCGGCCCGCTTAAAATACACAGCGCTGTGAAACGTAAAAGCTATTTGCCTTTACGAGTGGACTATTTTTGCCGGGCGCCGCGCGCCGCACGCCCACCGCCTCTAATCTAAGGCGCGAGCATCTATAATGCATGCCGGGGCCGTGAGGGTATTTCTAATCCCACGCAACCCCCTTGTGGGGGCCGCAGATAGAGAGTCGAAATATCGGGCGTCGAAGTAGCGAGCTGTTTTCCGAGGGGGCGACCAAGGCTGCGCCCTCACCCCCGCGCGCGGTGGTGAGTCACGCGAGAGAACGGCTGCGCGATCGTCGAAGATCTTTCGGCGACGAGACGGAAACGGTAAAGGGATAAGATAGCTTGGAAACTCGATCCCATTGCGTGTGAGTTTCCGTGCCCGCGGCCCGGGCAAAAATCTTTAAAAGCCGCCCTCGCTGATAGGGGCGAATATTACGCGACGAAAAATTGTGGATTTATCGGTTGGTTTAAAGGGAAAAATGATTTCAACGGAGCGTGGAGCGCACAAAAGTAATTAATTTTATATGTCAGTAAAATTAAATATTATAACGGAGTTTTTGTATTAAATAGTACGATTGTGATAAAGCGAAATTAAATTACGAAATATCAGGTTGAGTCATTCACACAATTATCGTTTATACGTTAACATATGCGTTTTTCCTCCTCGTTTCTCTAATGTCAAATATAAAAATGAATTTTGGAGAAAAGCACATTTTCCTGTGGTTATTCATGGTTTTATGGCATATTCTATTATTCGTGTGTTTGATAATGAGTGAATTTACCGCAGTGCAAACTGAAATTCGTACAAAATAAATAACACGTGAAATAACATCGAAAAAATTGTTTAACATTATTTAGACGGGCATATAAAATAGGGAGCTTGAAAGCTGCAATACTTCAGGCAACGGGGGGGAAATATAAGAAACCCACCGAGTGTGTGTTAATAAAACGAATAGTGAGCCGAGTGTTTCGATTTCGTTGCCGCGGAATGAGAACGATCGGAGAGGGTGAGACCTCTCGAATAATAACAGCAATATCGTTCCGCTAGGCGCTGTCGAGTCCTTCGATACAACGACCGCAGAAAGCGTCATTTATTCGTAATGGTATTATACCATTCTGTACGCGCGCGAATCTCTCGCCCCCGTACCCTTATGATAACGCAGCCGCGTCGCGTCGCGCCCCTTCGCGTCCGACGATACATCCGTCTCGATGATACATGTTCGCGGTCCTCCTCCACTTTCACGCAGGACGAAGAAGCGATCTCCACCGGCTTGGCAGATCGAACGATGCATTATTTATCCAGAATCAGAAACGAGAGTAATCGGCCGCGTTGAAGGATCGCGCGATCGAGACATCAATTCGAGGGAGGGGAATTATTTCCACAAATCAGTGAGTCCGTTGTGGCTTCGCGATCGAAGAAGGTGAAGAACGGATTCCACTGACACTGCCCGAATTACGAAGCATCCTCGTCGAGTATCAAGTATACGAGACGCTGCCGGTAATTTGATGAAAATGCTAAAAGGCGATCTGAGAAGAACGGTGATTGTTTCGATTGAAAATAAAAGTGCTTTTAAAAATGGACACAGGTGGGAAAGCAATTATACTTATTATT